AAACCTGCTCATTTTATTTGGCTCAGATTGAATATGACTCGGAATATGTAATGAAGAATGGGGTAATATTTAACAACATGCTTTTTAAACTTCTTGTCCACGTTTGAAAACCCACCTTGTGTGAATACTGTTCATTTCCTTGGGGTTTTTTTTTCCCCAAACAGCTGAAAGCAGAACAGGGTAAGAATGAGAAGACGGAGGAGGCGGCCAACCTGTGCAAGGAACTGGAGGTCACCAAGGACCTGCTGCGCCAGGCCGGGGAGGAACTGAAGAGTGACAGGGCAGTGCTGGAGGAGCGGGCCAGGGCGCTGGGGGAGACCGAGCTGGACAGGAAGAAGCTGCAACTGCTGCTGGCGGAGAGGGAGGGGGAGCTGCAGCGGAGGCACGAGGAGGGGCAGCGGAGCAGGGCCCGGCTGGAGGGGACCGTGGCCAGCCTGCGGGCTTCGCAGGCGGAGGCGGAGGCCCTGAGGCTGAAGCTGGGCGAGAGGGAGACGATGGTGGACATGCTGCGGCAGCAGATGGAGAGCGTCACGCAGATAGCCGGCCAGCACAGCCGCAACACGGAGACCCTGCACAGCGAGAGGGTGCAGCTGCTCAACGAGCTCAACGGACACAAACTGGACATCCAGCAGCTGAAGGTCGGGGCTTGTCAGGGCTGATCATTTTTTAGGTTTCCGTGGAGTATTGAGTAGATTTGGTCCATGTGTGTAGATACTCATAAGGCTCGTAGTTGTGCATTTCCAGCTTTCATAAATAAAACAGAAGTGCAACACGCTACAGGCAATCAGTTCGGTTGTAGTGGGAAGATTCTTTTCAGAGATTGTTAAAAAAGGCAGTTGTAGGTCGCAGCAAAAAGAAAAGAATATAGAGTAGGATTTTGGAAAAGGATGCATATCACCGTAGGCTCATAACTTTAAAACTCTTCTTCCCAGCATGCCAGTTAGATTTGGACCACGTTTGATTTGTTTACAATTCTGTACCACGAGGACAGCCAGCTGCTGACGCCACAAAGGTTCAGGAATGTACGGCGTTTTCTAAAAACGCCTGTAGCTTGAAAAACAGTTATTTGCTTCTTTGGTGAGCAAGCCAAGAAGGGAGGTGGCCTTGACAGTTTGAAGCCCTTTGAGCCGTGCGTGTTGCGGAGGTGACAGAGCTGTCGTTTTGTGCTCTCTGGGGAGCAGGCTGTCTGTGCGAAGAGGGACCATAGGCTGAGTGAACTGGAGCAGGAGCAGGTGCAGCTGCTGAGTGTGCTGTCAGAGAAGGCCTGCTGTATGAAAGAGCTCACACTGGAGAAGCAGCAGCTCACTGCAGACCTGGAGGTGCAGCGCATACAGCTGGTCAGCCTCACAGGTACGGATGTCTGCATTGTCTCCCCTGTTATCCACTAATAGACATTAATGCCCTCCCACACTGTCTCTCACACTCCTTGCACATTCACAGTGACTGTTCCTGATCACTGTCACTCACAGATAGTGCTAAATTGCCGTCTGCACTTTCCCCTACTGTCCACTATTACACACATTACTGTCTGCACTTTCCCTTACTGT